ATTGGCTTTCAAAAGCCAATAGGAATTGCTGCTGAGCGCGCCAAAATACCCGGATGGCAAACTTTGCACATGCAAGTTGTCTGCAGTGAAGGCAAATTGGCAAGAACTTTGCACCCCTCCCTGCTACCCAACTACACCATCTCCTAGTTAGTCCTGAAGATACCTGGAGGTATGGTCATGTGCCATGCCAATTGATGTAGACGTAATAGTAACTACAATTTATTTGTATTTTAGTCATTTTACCATTCATGTGGTTAAAACAATTTTGTGAAGAAGTGAATGTTCAATACAAAAAACTTTTAGGATATTCAAAAGTTAGATGGCTTGCTCTAATACCTGCTATAGAGCATGTTCTACAATTATTTGAGCCTTTCCATGTTTTTTTAAGTTTAGACAAATGTCTTAAAATCCTGGAATCATTTTTCAATAATGAAATATCTGAGATATTAATGTATTTTGTACATAATCAAGCATCTATTTTTCACAAAGTGATTCAAAAGATTGAAGGTGAACACATTTCAGCTACAGAAGTTAGCCTTATTTTGAATGACTTTATCCTTCAATATAAAACTCGATTTGAAGAAAAATTTCTTCCTTTAGTTATAAAAAGAAAATTATCAGACTTAGAGGAATCAAATCCAGGCATAACGGAAAAGTTTATCAAAGAAGTGCAGAATTTTTATCAAACATGTTTTCAATATATCAAAGAATAGTCTGAAACAAACATCACAGGAAATAACAGTTTTCAATGGTGTTCTTTGACTTCATCGCAAGTATATTGGACAGATATTGAATCTTGTGTTGAGTTTTTATCTAAAGAAATGCCAGGCATTAAAATAGACGACAATTGTCTCTTTGAAGAAATTAGAAGACTGAATGTATTTTTAAATTCTGAAAAATTAATACAATGGGAAAATAAACATGTTGAAATTGATAAAAGATGGGTGGAAATATTCAGCCATTTCAAAAATGAACATATTCCATGTGAAAATTTATTTATTCTTGTCCAATTTACGTTGTGCTGCCCTGGAACTAATGCAGCAGTTGAAAGGGTTTTTTCAATTGCTAATGATTTTTGGAAAAGTAAGAAATCAAGATTGAATGTTGATACTCTAGCTGCAGCACTTGCCGTAAAATTCAATATGAAGGATATTTCTTGTTCAAATATTTCCAATATATTGTTAGAAGATATACATTGACAAAAAATATTCATTCCATGGAAAAGTACTCATTTAAATAATAATTAATAGGCATGTAAGCATAATTACAATATAAAATGTTATTGTTACAATTGTTTTTATTATGCATTTATCATATTATAGTGTAATCTGTATTACTGTTGCAATGAATACAATGTTTCTTTTATTTACGATATTTATTTGTGAACTCCTTTTCATTGTAAAAAGGTTGGTTACCTTATATTTAGTTTGTACTGCTTTTGAAATTCTCTATACTAACTCAGTGGAAAACCAAATGGTATTTTTAATACTGAAATGCTCTTTTGAGGAGGAAGGCATTTGGGTTGTTCTTGACAAGATTGAAATCAACAGAGTTTAAGGATCCACCAACCTACTTAAAAATCCTTAGAAGTTCAGTTCTAGACATCCCTTGTATTTTACACTTTTTTTTAAACATGTACTTAAGCAAGATATCTTTGCCCAATCTCAAGCTGAGGCATACTGAATTGTTTCTTCTTTTAAAGATAAAGAATTTTTGTTCCCATTTGATTAAAAATTTACCAACCACCCACCACAAATATTTTAGATGACAATGATGATGAAATGAAATGAAACAAAACTGAACGGGTTTGAGTGCTTCGCTCTTGACAATCTTGTTCAATCAAGTTTCTAGAACTACCACCATTTCGTTTTTGAAATGTTTCTTGTCTTTAGCAAGTCCACTGCAGATAGGCAGAGCACGCTCTTCTTCAAAAAGAATACATGTGCTGAATACTGTAAAGTTGTCTAATTCTGATGGACGGAAATTTCATTCAGTTCATTTTCAATCTGATTGAACAAGCTTTTCCATAAAAAGGATGAAAAAGTTTATGTGTGTGCACGCACACATACAGTATGTGTGTGTGTGTGTGTGTGTGTGTGTGTGTGTGTGTGTGTTAGAAAAAAATGAAAATAACCTTGCCAACATTATCTCCTATTAAGGAATATTACTCACTTTCTTTCATGGAAGAGCTATTTTTTTATTTCTTGTGTATAGAATCATAGTGTTTTGCAATCTGAAAAGGGAACCCACAAAAGAAATATTATTTTGCTGTGCATGTTAAAATCAAATGCATAAATCCTTTGAAATATGTGGAAGCAGGAAACTAGCCAGGCAAAGCATATAGATTAATAGATTGTCTAAGAGAAAATGAGAAAAGAAGAAAAGGGTTGAAAGGAAACTGAATTAAATCTTATTTCTATTTTTCCAAGACGGTGGACAGATAACCAAGCCAATGGAATTTTCATGAAAATTGTCTGAATAATGAATTAAATAAAATATAATAAAATGAAGTTTGAAAGTTTATTATCAAGTTACACATTCACAGATCACCAGCTCCACATGAATCCAGAGGATTCTTTGTAAGGTATTAAAATCTGAAATTGTTCATCTTCTAATAAATAAAATTACAGTTTAAAACTGTAACAGTAAATCTACCACAAAGCACACTTTTGTGAATCTATGTGGAGGGAAAAAACCACTTCTTTTTCAAGAGCTAAAGGAAGAAATGTGCTAAGGAAGAAATCCTTTAAATATTTGTTTCTCTTAATACCTTTGCCTTGAAATATACTTTCTTTAACTTCCCACATTTTAAAACGCCATACTTACACAAATCTGTTGTATTTTGGAGAGGACTGTGTGTAATTGTTGTTACCACATTTATAGCAGGCTTTCTGCTTTTTGCTTTTTACTCTGAACAGTGCAAGTTTCCTTGCTACCAAAGCTAGCTGCATATTAACATTTTCTAGATATTTTTCCAGGGCACTGTTTATATCCTCTCAGCATCTCAGTAGGCATGTTTTCTTGTCTAAAAAACACATTCCTAAGTAGCAATGGGAATCAAATTCTTATACTTTTGGCCTTTATTTCATGTGCTATATCAGATGATCTGCCCTCAGTGCTTCTAAAGCAGTATCCCAAATTACTCTTGTTTCACCTCAAAAAGCAAATGTTGGCACCTGAGTTGATGGTAATCATCTAGTAGTTCAGGTTTTGATCCAGCAGGCAGGGATTTTAAGAGAGACACTTATTAGCACTTATATAAAATGATCGTCAAACTATTCTATATCAGAAGGCAAAGCAAGTCCAGGAGTACCACTATCTACCCCACTGTTCTTTTCTAAGGTACCTCTTGAGTCAATGTCAACACAGAAACATCCTTCAGAATGCAAATTATGTTTGAAACTAACTTTGCTTTGCTTTGAACAGTTCTGCATGCTCGGTAATCTTTTCTATGTGTAAGGTTTTTAAAGGAGTGTGGCAGGCACCAAGGAATGTGTTTGTGAACTCATTGTTATTTCCAAACTGAAAAACAAGGGAAAGTAGTTAATGTGTACATTTGAACTAGACTGTGATGTTTCTGTATATGTGTGTGTATGTGGGTATATACATAATGGTATTTTTTGAGAGCTGAATGCAATGAAATTTCATTTTAAAGTATGCTGATTAGTGTGCATTTAAAGTGACAATAAAGTTTCTATTCTATTCTATTCTATTCTATTCTATTCTATTGAGCAGACTTCAAATGTTTTCATTATAATAATCATCAATCTTACCAAAAGGCTCCTTTCAGGCATATTGGGATAAAAATTCAGAAATTATAACTCTTTTTCAAAAATAACTGGAGGATGCAACATTGGAGAAGACTGCTAATGCTAATAATGCACCAATTATTAATGATAGGTAGAGCACAAAAAGAATCTAATATTCTGATTGCCCTCTCCAAGTAAAATGTGAAACCAGGAGAAAGAATCCTTTTGGCTGAAGCCAATGTTGCTTCTCCATTTGTCAAGTTTTACTGGGTGCAATCAAAAGGATTTTCTAACAGCTTCGGCAAATGAAAGATTTTCAAAGACTAAATAACAAGCAAAACAAAATTTTCAATAAGGTATGGCCAAGAAAGGGTAATAGCAAGCCTGGCTCCCAGTTCAAAGGATCCTTTTTCCCCTTGAAGATCCCTATCTCACCGGCTTTCCCTGGAATAATGCACTATTGGTACAGCCAGAAAAAGTATCATGAGTGTGAGACACTCATTTCAGCATACGAAGAATTTGCTACTCAGCCTTATACACATTTAGTCATGCATAGGCAAACAATTTTCTTTGCCATCCTTAACTACATTAAGTTTGCACTGTCGTCTACAGGAGCCTAAGCTGGCTGAGAGGAAAGAACACGCTAAGCCCTGGACCATGTTTTACATGCTTTCAGTTTGGCAGATTAAGGTGAACTATGAAGTTAGAGTAAGAAATAAAATGGTTGGTTTTTCTTTAAAAAGGTATGGCATATATGTCTTTTCGCTTTATATTTTTAATTAGGTTAATCTTGACTCTTGCTTTTTGATCATAATAAAATATCTGGGTTCTGCTGTTAATCAGATTAAAAATTACAGACTATAAGTGGACTTGTGCTATTCCTTGCTCAGTCAAACTCATTTCCATACAGAGATGGTTAGTTCAGGGACAAAGCAAGCCTGAATGCTCAGTGAAGGGAATCTGCTAGAAACATGGCTTCTTTACAACCCTTAACCATGAATGAGTTTACATTTCCAGGACCAGATGAACTGACTGCACCTCAGGTAGCTGAAGGAATTACCTTCAGCACACATATCTGAGCAGGTTCTAGATCAACTCATAAATATCAATGTGTAAGCACACAGCATAAGCATAAATCAGTTCAGATTTTCAAGAACAAATCTTATCTGATCATCTGATCAGGAAATTTCATTAATGTATTTTCTTAATAGAAGACACAGTGTAACTTAATTTAAACATAACATTTTTTTAAAACAATTTTTATTATTTTTCCATTTTACACCAAAAGAAGCTTAAGAACCAGCGTGGAGATAAGGTGGTCAATTACAAAGAGAAAACAATAACATTATATATATACAATTCACACAATATTTCTTAAAACTTCCCTCTCTATCTATGTAGAAATTATAATCAATTAAATTCAAATAAATTCATTCATTAATATATCTAAATATAAATTTACTTAATCAATAAAAACTTTCAACTGCTCAATATCAATATAATAATCAAATTAATACACTCCTATAACCAATTCATTCTTTAATATGTCACTATATATAAATTAAATGCTTAAATCAGAACCAATGCTCTCTATCTATTTAAATTATTGGAATCTCATTAGTACATTTCTAACACATATTTTCATTAAGTATATTGCCAGATATAAATTTCATTAGTCAATAATCTTTTACAAAAGCTCCTTATCTATCCCAAAGATCCTTAAACATAACATTTTAAACAAGTACTCCATGATATACTGATAACAGGCTACTTAATTGTGGACTATATGTCAGGACAATTAGGACAATACAGAACTGGTTAGGAAATTATACTTGGTGCTTCCCAAAGTTTCCTAGACAAATTCAGGAAGGATATATGAAGTCATGGAATATCACAAGGATTGATTCTGAGTATTCAGTTCTTCTATGTTTTTACTGTATGTAGAAATGGAAAGAATACTTATTATTAAATATGCAGATGATACAATGTTGGGAAGTTGATAATCTAATACCCTAAAAGATAATAACTTAATGAAAATAATCAGTGACAAAAAACAAAAGACAAAATTCTTTACTTAAACAAAACCCAAATGCACAGGTATAAAATGGGAAATATGAGTCTTAGTAAAAGCAGGGATTTTTTTCTCATAGAACACCCAGAATGGAGATCCGGCACCTTTTTTGGATGGAACCTTGTAGGGTAGGCAAGGCTGGTTGTATGACATGTGTGAGTTCTGGCACCTTTTTTTTTTTTTTAGAAAAAAAGCACTGAGTAAAAGTAAAAGTATTCTCAAAAGAAAAAATGGGGGGGGGGAATAATTGTTGATTGCAAGGTGAATATAAGCCAGTAGCATGATATACCTACAAAATAGATTAAGTGAAGTTTTAGTGTGCATGGACAGAAGTATAATTTTCCAGTCATGGGAAGTAATCATTCTACTGTTTTGCTTTAGGCAGATCCTACCATGAACACCAAACCTTAAATAGGATTTAGAAAAATATTACAACATTTCAGCAAAGGACAACAATGATGAGCAGGGGATTAGAAACTAAGCTAGTTGTGTTTAGCCTTGAGAAGAGACAACTGGGAAGGATAAAAATAGCACTGTTCAAATACCTGAAAGGATGTCAGTCACATAGGAAGGTCATGACATGTTCTTACTAGCTCCAAAGTACAGAACACAGAATACTGATTTCATGGTACACAAAGGCAAACAAGGAAAGAGGTGAAATGGAATGCACACAAAAGAAATGTGTATACTGGGAGCATTTGCTGTTCAGCCCAACCTTCTCCTTATTACCATACATGGGGTTTGTCCCTTCATGCCATCGTCAAAGAATTATTTCCTCTTATTATAATTATTCTTGGAGTATAAAATGTGTTCTATAATAGATAAGCCTACAAGATGCAAATAATGAAAGTTAAGTTTTGGCTCCACGGATGGGTCGAGGTGTCAAAATTCAGAGATCATTATATCTGGCAAACAGGTATTTGGGGTGTGGTTTGGCTTGCATTTTGCAGCTGCCAGACTCCCTCCCTCTAGATCACTGTGCATGGGAAAAAGACATCAGCTCAGTTGTTGACCAAGAACTTTTGATAGTGATAGGGATTGTAGGGAGGCGTGGGAAAGAGAAAAGGAAACTGTACACAAGAAGTTCACAGGACTACTTCGGTGTGCGTTGGCAAACAAGCAGAATGTGGAAATCCAGTTCTGTAGTGCCAACCACATAATGAAAAGTACAATTTTTGAGGAAAAGTCTACAGAGATTCTCAATCTTCCAGGTTGTGGTTGTCCCAAAGGTACATTTCAACTGGCAACTGGACTTGTTTTTTTTTTTTTTCCTTGAAACTAGCATAGGGACAAAATTATCCCTATGTCTGCAAGTGAATTTATTTATTTATTTACATGTTTAGTATGGATCAACCCTTATCTGCAGAACATATGAATTAAAGAACTTTAAGAAAATATTATCTCCCCATTTCACTGAAATGCCACTCAAGTTCAACATTGCTTATTTAGTGTAGTTCAGATTAGACCTTTCCCACCCATCCTACACCACCATGCTAAATTAGGTTAGGCTAAAAAATGACAACTTGCTGAGCAATCTCCTGTGTCATTCATGCCCAAAGCCAACAGTAAAGAAATATCTGATTGTCTGTTGTATTAGGTTTCTATAGTGTACAATATTGTGTTTGTCAACTATATGTTAACATTGCTCCTGGCAGGAGTTTGCAAATCCCTAGCCAAAACTGGAATTACAATATGGGAAAATCATCATTTTGGTTTCAGGTTTACAGAATACAGTATTTGATTAAATAAAGGATGTGTTATTGTTTCAAACTGCATGTTATAATTTTAAAATGGTCAGTAAATAACATCTTTCTTGAAAAAGAGTGCTTGTAAAAAATAAGAAAAAAAGAAAAAGGAAATAAGCAATTAGGTAATTTAAAAAAAACATTGTTGGTGATCTACAGTTTTAGCAAGTAAGTAGCAATAGATACCCCAGCAGTTTGCAACACCAAACTAGCTTTAGCTGTTTTTAAAAAAACACCATCCAATTAATTAATTAATTAATTAATTAATTACTTTATTGACTAGCTCACAGGCCATATCAAGGTGCAGAGTTCCAAACACACGTTATACTAAAATGCAGTAAAAACAATTTAAAATGGAATTGGTTAAAATATAATTTAAAATAAAATAGAAATAAAATACAATTTAAAATGAAATTGGGATAAAATACATTTTTAAATGAAATTAGAATCAAATATAGCAATTTAACATGTAGATAGATAAAATATGATTAAATTATATTTCACTATCACCCGTACAATCTACCCCAACCAGTCTCACCTATGCCAATCTCAGTCGAACCATTTTGCTCAGGTACTGTGCTGTGTTAAATGTAATTTTCAAATTCTGGTACCACATAAGGTAAGTTATTTTGATATGGGGATCCCAGTGGGTCATTCGTTTAGTGTATAGGACCATCTAAATAGGTTTCAGTACACGGATGGCAGTTCACCAAGAAATCCCAGGACTTTGGGTTACCTTGGGATAAAGCAAATAATAAATAAAGCAATAAAGGATAAAAGTGATTGTTGCCAAGAAAGCATGATGGTGATGTAATTACTAGAATCTGGTTGGATTTCAACTCAAGGGAGATCTTAGCTTCTCTTTGTTTGCTTATCTTTTTCAAAATTTTAAGCATTCCTTTTAAAATGGCTTTACCAATATGGCAATGTAATAGCAATCTGAGGTTCTGATCAAATTGGCTCATCTTGTTCCTGAAGGCCTCTGAGAAACAATGCCTTTTAGGCTTCTAATCTGCCCTAATATGAATCTTTCTTATACTAAGTCAGGGTACCATGTTATTCTGACTGTTGCAAGTTGTCGAAAACCTCAGGCAACAATTCTCCAAGATATCTTTCCTATCTCACAACAGACCTGTCATACTCCTTGTTTCCAAAGTACAGGCAGCTTTGAATGCCTTTGATAAACTCAGTACAAAATCTGAGATGTCTTTCTTGCCGAACTGTCTGCCCCATTCGTTGGGGAATATTAGCTGGCTTCCAGAGTCTTAAAATTGGAAGCAAAGTATTATTACATGGAGCAAACCCAGATCTCCCAGTGCATTGGACTTCAGTTACAGGCTTCTGAAGGGGAACTCGTCATCAGCAATAGGTTCAGAAAGAACGTTAGAAGCTGTTACTGGTCACCCAGAAAAATGGTTCGTTTTCATGTATAGAAGCACCTGGATATAGGCACTTCTGAGATTCCGGCTTGTGAAGCCCCCAATTATAATATAGGTGAAAAAATTAAAATAAAAGCACAAGCACCCATCATTAAATCATTTGAACATTTTAAAAATAAGAGAATTTTTCTCAGTTTAGTCTTAGGCTAAATGGTTTTCTGTTCCTGTCCCTTGCCACCTCTGATTAACCCTACCTGGATATTATGACTATCTGCCCTACTAGTCTTTAATTCATATAATTGGACATATAGTTGGGTGCAATTGCCCAGTAAGAAGAGAAATACACCTTGGACATGATCAAAAACAACTTTAAGCTTCCTCAAAGTAAGCATGAACTTGATTGAAGCTTCTAATTGAACAAACTAGATAGGACTTCTTGTATTTCTAGAAAATAGACATTACAAACAATTGATAGCTACTGAGTTGTGGAACTATGGTTCAGTTTTTATTATTTTCCTAATTTAAATATAATGGCCTCTTTTCCAAATTCTCTCTTGAGTGATAGACATATTACTTCACATATACAGTTGTTAATACTAGTTGTACATTTACATTCACTATATTCCACTTTTTAAACTGTCTTGCCTGTAATAAACTCCAGACAACATTTCCCTGTTATCATTTACATATTTCTGTAGTCTATAGAACAGAGGTCTGAGGACAGCATAGCAGTTCTCCAATCCCCATCTAAGTACCTCAAATGTGCCCCAAAATCTCATTGTCAAAATTCAAATCCAATAGAAGGAAGTAAAGAAGAAACATCAGCCTTGGGGATAAAAAAAAATAATAAGAGTCCTCAGACCAAAAAAGGCCATGACTCTAGAATCACTTCTGAAATCAAGCCATTTGTGGAAGAATAGAAAGAATAATTTAATAATTAGGTCAACTGAGAGACATGAAGCATGAATATTGCACAGATACAAGGACATCAACCCAATAGTGAAAAACTAAGACATTTGCCTGAATGAGTGGAATTTCATTCAAGAATTATGAATTTAGACCATTCAGTATTTGGGCATTCTAGCTAATTCCCTCAGAACAAGTCTTATAACACTGGCTTCCCTGCAGGTATTTATGTGTTCAGAGTAGATAGCTATCAAACAGCTGACTGGGCTGTATACATGTAGGCTTTCTTCTGCAGACATTCATACTGAGCTTGCAAATGCTTCCAAAAAGCCAACATTATTTCATAATTAGGGAGCAGGAAGAACAGAGACTTAGGTAGAGAGCTTGTCAGTTTGATAATGGCTAGATAAGGCTCATACATTAGTTAAGTAAGAAAATGCTTTAATTTGCATAATCTTTGTAGATATTCTATTATATTTGATGGAGATCTTGCTTGCTTCCAAAGTAGGAAAGAAGAGGCAAGCACAAATTTCACCCCTTATCTAGTTGCTAGTATTTCTCTTGGCTACTATCAAAAGAGCTTCTGAGAAACAATTCTGTTTTGTCAAGATACATGTAGAAGCAAATTAAACATGACCTAAGAACAGAAAGCAAAAGGAGATAACAACAAAAGCAGACTCAAGCAAAGAGTAGAAATAATGAATACCTTGACCTAGAACATTCCTATTCATATAGAAAAAGCTGCTGTTGTCATGCTTTTTCCCCTTCTCCATCTGAAGTCTTTCCCTGTGAATTAATGTATGTTTTTAAGCTGGAGGTCAAGGACAAGACTTTGTTTGTTCTTATAAGCCATTGTGGGAATCTCCTCCTCCTTTGGAAAAAAAACCTAAATTCTGGAACAAATAAATAAAATACTCTATATTGAAATCATAAACATTTCAAACGTGCAAGTAAGTTTTGTCTGCTTGTTTTTTTTTTTTTACCATCCCATTCGATTGTTAGTTCTGCAGAAGAAATGGAGATTTCAGAAGGCGCTTTCTAAGTATAGAAAATAATCTTCAAAGAAATATAACCTCGAGCCAGATAGCCATAAGTTTGGATCATTTGCTTCACATGTACCCAATCAGGATTGTCCAAGTTTCTTGTGAAGTCTTAACCCCTCTTAACAGCTACCACCAATCTGCCACCAATTAAAGATAAAAATTAAGATTATTAAGATTAAATTTCATGATTTTACAGTTACAAATATGTATGGGGTGAAATAGTTCTATAATAATGTGGGGGGCAATTCCTGAAAATGCCGATTTTTCTACACATATACACTTTCCTCCCCACCCACTTCATGTGCAACTTCTAACACATTTCATAAGTCTTCCTTGCCAATCTCAACCCAAGAAATATGATGTGTTTATAGTTACTTGGAAATAAAAGATGATTCGTGCTGCCAGACCTTACCATTTGGCACCAGATTTCAGCAACATGATCTTAGTGGTCCCCAGGGGCTGCCAAAAGGGGAGAGGAGATGCATGCAGCCTTGCTAGTTATGGATTGTTATGCCCCTGATATAACAGGAACCAAAGCTACAGAGAAGGAAAAAGTGATTATTTTTTTTTAAAAAAAAAAAAGCAAAACAAAGGTATTACAGAGTCAAGGAGTCAGCCTTTGGTTAGGACCCACTCCCTATATTCACTATGCCTGAATTCCTTACTGTTTAAAACCAACCCAGTGTGAAGCATATATTATATGAGAAAAGACAACCAGCCTTTGCAGTAGAACCTGAAATTGGCCAAGGGAGGGAAAACATGCCTTTCTGGTTTGAAACAAAAGCAGGCTGTACAATAAGCATGCAAAAAATCCCATCCCACAAGTCGGCAATGCACTGGAAACCTCCCCAGTCAATAGGAAGAGATGAATGGAGGTACCCGCTGAATAACCTCACTTTGCAACTTTTATGTGAAGGGTTGATAAATGAAGGCAGGGAGAGGTACAAGAAAGTGATTAAAACCAGCCTGCAGAAAAGGAAATCATAACCTCCCTAGTCTTTAAACATTTTTTTCCCCCTGTGCTTGAGCTGGTTAGCTTTTTAACCCTTTCTCTTCTATGCACATTCATGCTGACCGCACACAGGTACGTGTGTTTTACAACAACCAACCAAACCATTCAACAACTCTCGGTGCCTCTTATCTTCCCAGTGTGGGTTTGCAAACCATTGTTTCCTTAATTTACTGGTAAAATCAAAGGTGTGTCAAAGGTGTGTATGTGTGTCTGTCCTGCCCTCTTGCATTTCATCAAGAGGTATGTGCCATTTCTAGGAGAAGAGATGAAGAAGTCACCTTTTTCTGCTCAACATTTTCTTTAGTGGTTCTTCAGGAAACTATCTGCCTTTTAAAAAGTTTCTTGATTTTTTTAAAGTCTACAGGCTTGGGATTTTAGAAGCATGCTTCTTACTTTTGTTACATAGCATTTAGGGATTTAAATTATCCAGCATGGTATCTGAAACTAGCAATCTCCTAGCTGCATTTATAGAAGTAAGCAGATGCAGCATCAGTCAATGAAAATTAAACAAGGTTGGAGCTGGTTCATACATGAGAAATCATCAAGGAATATCTGGATGGTAGGCTAGACGTGGATGTTACAGGGGGGGGGGACTCAGGAAATGGCAATAGCAAACTAATAAAGACATTCATGAAGTGACCAGAATTTGACCTAGACATGAAAAAAAAGCAAAGCTGAAAGGTTTTCTATATTTTTTTTTCTCAACATCAATATATTTATATGGACTTTCCCAACTGCATTCTTTGCCTTTCCCAAAAGAATTTGAAAATGTTGAAATACTAATATTTGTTGTGTTAGGACTATACCTGCTGGAGTTCCCGCCGGTGATTTAGCTCAAGGTTCTAGAAGTTATAGTCATACTGATACATTTGAACTGGACTGGAAATCACTACTACTGACAATGCTTTTATTGTTCATCCTTCCTACTGAGAATAGCTTCATGACTATGAAGCCAGAGTAGGAAATAGAATCAAATGGATTAGACAAGATGGATACTATGATAGCCTTGAACATCAGCTACTTAGGCCTGCCATTTTCCTGAAGCAATATCTGAGATTGATCTCCAATCTCTAATAATAAGCATCCAAAAGAAAAGAGAGGGGTAAATGGTAACCCTGACATTTCCAATAGATGCATGGAATCCATGCATGCAGTCCAAACAACTTGATCCTAAATCACTGCATACCAAATAACAACTGCATCTTCCTATAAGTCTAGAAAAGTTGCAAGGCAGTTTGAGCATTGGAACAAGCCTTTTAATAATTATTCACTGATTAGATTCAAATATTGTGTTAAGCTGCAGTTTGCTAAACTAATAATTGTGGAACAAGCCGTAATTGGCTGATCTCTACCATATGTTATTCCACAAAGTATGATTTATAAATAAAGATGGCTGGGTTTGCCCAACACACTAAGTCAAAATCAAACAACCACATGACGACTCATTGCACTATTGAATTAGCCACTGAAGTATTGTTCTTTGCTCTGGATTTGGGAAATTTACTTGGTGCATGTATTATTTATTTGTTTGTTTGTTTATTTGTTTGTTTGTTTGTTTAAAATATAATCCTCTGAAACAGAAAGGAAAGAACTAGACCAAGTTTATCTTAACCATCTAGTGATTGAGTAACTAGCTGAATCCAGAAAATGCAAGACTTAAAAGGTAAAACACTATCAAACATTGTTAAATTGAGTAAACATTCTTAGAATTGCATCAAGTTCAACTTTAAGTATTATATCAGACATTAGACTGACTCTTTTAAAATCAGTCCCATCAGTCTTTTCAAAGGATGCTGTTTATTCTTTTTCTGCTTGAAGAAATAGACGATAGACAAAAGTTTTTAAACCACACAGGCCCAAGCAAATGCAATTTCAGACTGCTTAATCTGAAATAGTATCATTAAATTCTGTGAGGCTATTTCTGATTGGAAAATGCAGGAAGAAATTGCTACACTAAATCAGCCATTTCTGAAAGGGAAGCTAGCTAAACAAGAAGTGATC